GTCCCAGCAACTAAAACAGTGGCGGGGATAAAGAAGGTAGTTGGGAAGTACTTGTTGAAGGAACTGAAAGAAAAGTTCTGGAACATGACTGTGTGCTTAACACATAACACCCTAGGCACCTGGTAAATGTCAGCCGAATAATTAATTTTCCCGCAATGAAAACCAATCCGTTCAACTGATCCTCTACGGAAGCTGGGTTGCAGAGTAGTGGAGAAGGGATGTGAACACACAGGAATCTGGTAGAGGAAAAGGAGGCTGAAAATTCCTTTGCACTTAAGAGAAAATGGTGAGAAGAGAGTAGACTGTGATGGTTAAGCTTTCTTGCCCACTGACTGAATTGGAATCACTAAGGAGACACACCCCTGAGGGTGCTTCCAGAGAGGTTTAATTGCGGCGGGAGCCTGGAATGCATGAAATTGGGTAAGAGGGAGCTAGCTGAGTACCTGTGACCAGTTCCCGTCTCTTTCCAGGCTGTAATTGCATTGCAATCAGGAAAAGTCTCACACTTTTGCCACTGTCCTTCCCAACAATGAAGGACTGCATCCCCTCAAACTGTGAGCCAAAATAAACCCTTCCTTAGAGCGCTTTTGTAAGGAAGGAGAGAGCTAACTGATACAAAGATAAAATAAAATTGAGAACATTACCCCCAGGCCTACTAGGGCAGAACGGAAAACATGCTGGAAAGGACTCATTTTCCGCAAAAATCTTAGGTGGTTAGGTAAACCGTTAGTCATTCTATAGTTCATCGTGTCAAAGGAGGCATCTGTGATTTTACTGTAATATCGGCACATGTGTGTGCGCATGTTTGGAGATGTGTGCCTATGTTTGTTGGTAAGGAGGGCTGCGATGGATATTAGGCATCTTTCTTTATAGCTCTCCATTTTGTTTCTTTGAGACAGGTTCTCACTGAGCTTGAAACTCACTGACACTGCTGGGCCAGTGAACTTCTGGCTCTTCTTTTCAGCATCGCAATAACAGGGTTGTGTCACCACACCTTAATTTTCATGTGGGTTTTGATGTTCAAAACTCATATTTAATGAGCCATTTCCCCAACCCATGAATTCAGAATAAAATTCCCTTTTCGAGTTGCCCTTTTGGAGGCTACTCTTAAGCGGCAGTTATTCTTGGGAAGTTGACCTGAATTTGAAAGAAATCTGGGCAGAGTCATAACAGATATAAATCAGATAGAGGATTTCGTGACACTGAACCCCCAATTAAAGCTTTCTTTTTAACACTGTCTAGGTTGGTTGGCAAGTAAGCTTAAAATTGTAAAATAGGCTTTGTGGCACATGTCATAAAAAACCCAAGGAGTCACCAGATACCTCTAGAATGGCACTAAATGGAACTAGTTTCCATGCAATAGTTATTGTAGCAAACTTTTTAAATTCCCTAGAGCTTCTTAATAAAGATCAGGCTTAAGGTTTTAGAGACCTTCGCTCCATGTGGAGAGAGTGGGAGGCAACAAAGATCAGGCCGATAGGAACAAAGCAGACCATGTTCTGTGCTTCCCTTAGGCTGTTGGTCTCCATGCTGTTTCACAGTTCTCCTGAAGTTTTCTTAAATGGCTTAAAGACTTCGCTGTAAACCTTTGTGGGACTCTCGCATGTACATGCGCCGGCGTGTACGTGCTGTGTATGCCGACCACCAATGCTTGAATCAGTATGGTAACACAAGGGTAAAATCAGTGCTGTCTTACCAACTGGTCCCACACATACCTGATTAAAACACAATCGGGGGTTGTCTTTGGGCATCTACACATAAAAAGCTGTGCTGCTTTGTTTTCATTATCTGTAATCTTTTGAACATCACAGAAGGCTTAACTGATGAGAGAATGAAACCCAGACAATGTAATAACTTGCCCACAGCCACATGGCTAGTGAATGTAAGATTTAAAACCACATTTCTCTGGCCAAAAATCCCACTTTATTTTGCTACAATCCATGACACCTTGAGGGACCACTGAACCCCCTGAATCAACAATGGCATAGGTCAGCCAGGCTTAATGTAGGTCATGAAAGGAGATTTGGTTGTATTTAGCACTGTTAAGTGCTTGGAAAGATTTCATCTCTGAACTTGGTGAGTTTGAGAACTACATGTAATATAAAGTCAAGGTGGGCATGTAGAGGGAATTTAACCCAAATATATTTTTTAAAAATGATGGAAGAACTGAGAAGCCAGCAAGTGGATACTAAAAAAATAACTCAAAGGTGAATTGAAGACCAAAATGGACAAATACTGTTCCCAGAAACATCTGCCACGGTCATCAGAGGAAAGGTAGAAGCAGATGCCTGTGTGTCTGGGAAAGGTCAGGACCCCCGATGGACACAACCACCGTTGGACCCTTCCTGAGACAAGCGGAGAGCTCTGGCTTTTCAATTCTTCCTTTTTTTCTCTGTCTTAGCGCTTCCTGCCTGTGGCCAAATGGGGAAACAAAGACATCAGGGACCAACTGGTAAGCAATTAGGATAGAAAAGACAAGCTGAAAATCTAAGAGCACATCAGGTCATGTGCCATGGCCATAGGCACAGGAAACGTGTGCTCTGCACTGATTGTGTGTGTGTGTGTGTGTGTGTGTGTGTGTGTGTGGTGACAGGGCACACACTGGATGTTTTCTGTGAAGACTGAGAAAAACAAGATGGGCAATGTGCAGGTATAAACACCTTAGAGAGACTCTTGTGTCATTTGTCGGTTATATACACATGCACCAATGCCCTTCTTTCGTTCCCAGTAGCTAACCAATCACCCAATTCTGTCTTCTGGACTTCTCAATGACTGCACCCCCACACCACATTTCCTCCTTGCTGCCTTGTCTTCTCCACCGTGATAGACTGTATCCCTGTGGAATTCTATGCCAAAACAAATTCTTTCTTCCCTAAGTTGGCTTTGGTAGAATCTTAGTTTTTTTTAAGACAACAGGAAAAGAAACTAAGCGAATTACCTTCTCCAGCTGAAACTATGATCCTGCTGCCACATCATACCAGTTGCTTCAGTGGTGGTGGGGGGGAGGGTCTGTTTGTGCTGGGGATAATGACAATGTCTACCAGACTTGGCAAGGTCCTGCCTGACCTGGCACACACTGATTCCCTTCCCCCACAAAAACTCTTCATACTATTTCCCTAAAGTCTTCCTGCTCCAGCATAATACACGTCTTCAGTCCTTGAAGATCTTGTGTTGGCCCCTGCTAATGCCATGCTGTCACTGTCCCTCTGTATCAAGTGATCTTTTTTTGGTTGATGTCAGCTTGTCATTCCTCTTTCGGCCTAGTCATCACATCCTCAGGGAAGTTCTGCCTGATTTGCCTAACTGTGGAGTGCTTATGTCATCCTGTAACTAGACATTTCTCCTCCTCTTCCTGACTATCAAATGGATTCCGTGGAACTGGAAGTTCTCCAGGAATCTTACACATACAGGAAAATGCTTCATACCAGCTGGTGGGCAAGTCTGTCTTCCATTAGAGACAGATAACTTGTTAGTCCACCTGGCAGGAGAGATTAGAGCCCTGAAAATGACAGAGGGCAGAACCACACCTTAAAATCTTGATGGGGACTGCAGTGACAGCAGCCTCTTTCTCACAGTCGCTGTAAGGAAGGAACAGACCCACTAAGAGCATGTCTGTGGGCACACTTCCCAGGTGCCCACATTCCAGGAGTACAGCAAGCGTCCGAAGTATTATCTCCTAAGAAAGTTACAGCCGGGGGCTACCAAACTCTGAGACATCAGACAGCTAACCACCTACCTGTATAATGGGTGCACATGAACTGAATGTGCCCTTCCTGCCTACGTCTCCATATCCTCTTAGTGATATTTCTTAGTAACAAGAATTCTTCCTGCTCAAAGTGGAAACAGAAGATGCCCTCATTCTCACTGCTGCCTGGGATTAAGTGGCAGCCTGATTACAAGGATTACTACGAACTACTCATGAACCTTGTGGCATGAAACTTCCCCCTTCCTCTGATACCTGTGAGAAGGGACAGGTATCCCTATCCCTCCACCGCCACTCTTCCTGGGGGCCCGAACTTACCTCAGAGCCCTGTTAGGCTGTCTCTGATGGCATTACTATCTCTTCTAATAAATAAACATCGTATTCAAAAGGTATCTACAATGTTTGAGCCCCAAACCTGAGACCTTTCATGCGCTACTTCCAAATGCACTCAGAAGGCCCATTTGAGCTAAGAATGGCATTTTATTATAAAACTACACGTGAAAATAGGATCCTCATCCATGCCACACCCAGGTAATACTGAAGAACGGGCCATATGTCCTTGAGGGAACAAATAAATCAAGTGACTCCCTATTATTTATCCTCCGTTTGTTTCCATCGGGAAAAGCCGCAGACGAGAAGGATGCTATGCGTTTCTTTTGCTTCCACACATTACCTTTCTTTACTTAAAATTCTTTGTTCCCTCCCCACCATTCATCACTAGGCTACGTCGCCTGCAACAATGGACTGCCATTTAATTTCTCTCCTCTTAGCCTAGCTGTTCTTCAACCCAAGGACTCGCCACCATGAAGTATTCTCTTACAGTTTGGAGAGGCATGTGGCTTTCCCAAATGGACTCTCCTTTGTGCTGGTAAACAACAACAAAAGCCTCCTGTCAGATAGAGAGGGCGAGTGCTTTGTCTGCCACCACCCACTCCTCTTTTGTTTCCCTCAAAGGGCTTGTTCTTTATTGTGTTGCACATGCTCCTCTCTGGGGCTCTGCAGATGTGAGGCCTTAAAAGTAGAGTATTTAAAAATAATAATAATAAGCCTCCACCCCACAAATTGCAGGGCTTTATGCCAGAGCAGCATGCGGACTCCCGAAAGAGCTGTGTTTATCAGGAGCTTGATGGTTTCTGTTGATTAAAGAGGTCTGGATGGTGGAAGGAAGGGTGTCAGAGGAGACGGAAGTGGAAGTTAAATTTCAATCTTGGAAAGTATCTGAGAGGTAACTCTCTTGGGCCCTGTTCCTATTCAGAGGACACATGTGAAGTAAAATTGTGAAGGCCAGATCACTCACGGTGGAAGGACGCTGATCACAGGGAAAGCAGAGGCTTGATTCAGCAAGACCTTAGGAGAAGTCAACCCTGCTGACACCTTGGTCTCGGACCTCTGGCCACTGGAGCTGTGAGAAGGTAAATGTTGATTACTTAAATGCCATGCCCTGTCTAGTGAACTTTCTGAAGGCAGCCCTGGCAAGCTGCTCCACCTAAGACATTGCTGGTTACCTATCTGCATTTCACAGATGAGAACCTGAGGGTCAAGGTGGTGAGTGCTTTGCCTAAAGGGATGCAGCTCAGGAGCAGAATGGGGATCCAAAGCCCCCACCTTTCTGTTATAAGAGAAGAAGTTAAAGCTTGGTGTTACTGCCTGCTCAGCCCTTGGCAGCTGCGGTTAACCCTCTACAGATAGAGAGAACTGAATCAACACTCACTGTCATTAATGACTGCCTATGAAGAAGCCTCCTCCTAACTGGGGCTGGTCAAGGGGAACAAGACACAACCCATCTTTATCCTCCTAATAATTAAAAATATCACAATGAAGCTTTAGAGAGGAAACAGTAGGTAAAGCACTTGCTACTCAAAGATGGTGACATCCTGAGTCGTGATCCTAAGACCCATGGAGGGCCAAATGAGATAGCACACGCCTGTAGCCCCAGTGCTCCTGCAATGGGAGAGAAGGCATACATAGGAGAATCCAGAAGCCTGCAGGCCAGCTAGCAACAGCCTATGTCTCGCACAAACTACAGGGCAAGGTCTGTCACCTAAAGTTGTCTCTGACTTTCCCAGGTGCCATGGCACGCATGCACGCGCACGCACACACACACACACACACACACACACACACACACACACACACTTAAAAAGATCATTCTTATCACAAACATACTTTAAAATCTAAGGTAATCCAAACATGAAAATAATTATGGGATAGAAAATACACTTTTATCAAACCACAATAGCTTGAAACTGAGCTTCAAATAAATGTAAAAGAAACCTTTGGCGTATTTTCTAAAAATCTTAAAATATGACTTAATCTTAGCCAGGGGAAAGTTATTGATTCACCCTGAAAGATAAAAATATTTTTAATTCTGCAGAATACTGTGACTCCCATAGCTATGAAATAATAATCACATCTGTTTGAGTCTTCAAAATTTAAAACTGTCAAAAGATTTCTTCTGTTAGGGTATTTGTTAGGACAAGCTGAGAGCTAAAGCAGAAACAAAGTCAGCCAGAGTGGCAGGGTTAGTCTGCTCTTCAGCACCCATCCCTCCCCACGCCACATGGTCGCCTGTGAGTTTGCGGAAAGTAGTGTTGAACTGTGAAGCTGAGGCTGTGACAAACACCCTCCAGCAGGGAACAAAGCAAGGACAAAATACATGTTTGCAGTAGTTGTTACAAGTAGGGGGGTGGGAAATGGATGATTTGGGAGCATGTGTTGGAGCTTGGAGGATTTTAGACAGTTTCTAGCCTACCCCATTCATTTAATAGACAGGGAGCCAGAGTCCAGAAACATGAAACCATAGGCATGCATTACACAGAGGACAGGAAAAATGGCCCTGCTTGCTCAGTCAGGTTCTCTCTCCGATTATAAGCTGCCTTTACCTTCCACTCTTCATTTGTAAAGTAACATGCTAGCCAAAGAAACAGTTTTCTAAAGAGCCAGATCTTTTCTGAATGGTTTGTGTCTCTGTATGACACGAATGTCACTGATCTGTGGTTTATGCTTGTGTTCCGGCTCATAGTAAACTATTAGGTCATTGTGAGATGGTAAATACTTATGGAAAAAAATTAAAAGTTAGGGGATATCAACAAGCCCAGTAGTTTTACCTTCTTGTTAAATTAAGTCTGTATTTTTAGTCTTTATATTATTATTTTTTTAAATATTTAAATTGATTTATTAGATGATTTTGTAGAGTATATATAACAAGATCTTTTATAATGTTATTCATGTATACAAGATATTTTGGTCTGATTCACTCCCTGTTACCCTCTCTTGTGCCCTCCCTGTCCTACTGTCACAGTCTCCTTTCTACTTTCCTGTCTTTTTTTTTTTTTTTTTTTTTTGTTAAGCTCTACTATGTTTAATTAGAGTTGTTGCATGAGCATTGATAGGGACCTAGGACTTTTTATTGGAGTTTGGGCCACTTATGAGTGACTACATCACTGAGAAAAATTGTTCCTTCTTCCTGGCAACCCATTAATGGCTAATAGCCCCTCAAGGAGGAGTGGGGTTCCATGTAAATGCACATTAAAGAATTAATTGCTGAAGTATACAAAGTACTCCTTGCCCTCTACGGCTTCTTCTGTTCTTTGGATTCTAAGGACAAAATATCGACATTGCATGTAGATGGGTTGGTCTATGATGGTACTTCCTCAGAGATCAAGTGGTTCACTTATGCCTAAGTGAGCCCTGGTGATGAAGCCGCCAACGGCTCCAAAGGAGAATGATAAATTGCATATTAAAAAGATTCACAGGGGTTCAAGGAACAGGATGCTTTGTGTTGCTAGTCTTTGCTTGGGATGCCCTTTGGTATCCATTTGTAATCTAATGTTCATCTGTTGTTCACTGTTTCATTGGAAAATGCAGTGAAAATCAAAGCCTTTCTATGGTCCAAAACATATTTCTAACAGTTGTAGAAATATGGCAATTGCCTTGTAGTGTGTTCACCCACAGACAGCTTGGCTGGCCAGACATCCCACAGGTGGGGCTGCAGTGCGTGCAAGACAATGAGAAGCTTATAATAGTGATAAAATACTGACCAAAATCAGCCTGGGCCATGAAAAAAAAAATCTCAGTTAACAGGCCGCACTCTACCATCTAGGGAAGTTAACGCAGGAATGTAGAGAATGGAAGGGAAACAAGACCACGGAAGAGTGCTGCTTACTGGTTCACTCTCAGGGTCTTGTTCAGCTGTCTTCCTACAGTTCAGACTCACTTGCCCAGGGGTGTCACCACACACAGTGGGCTGGGCTGTAGAGGAAGATCTTGTGTGTTGTATGGACGTAGCAGCTGTCAATAAAAATGTAACTGGCCAATTGGCTGGGCAGAAGGATAGAGAAGTGGAAGGTAGGGCAGAGAGAGACAGAGACAGAAAGGCAGCGAGAATGAGAATTCTGGGAAGGAGAAGGTAGTTTTTTTTTTTTTTTTTCGCCAGGAGACAAGGAGGGAGACAAATATAATTATAGACCTGGGAGGCTAGGTGGCCACGTGGCTGGATGGAGCAAGGTGGGTGGGTTCACTTAGGTGAGAATCTGCCCAGCCAACACTTAAGCTTTAAAAATTATTAAAAGTTCTTGGAGTCTTCGTTTTTATGGTCTAACGGACAACTTGGGGCTTAGGTCTTTCTTCACCAGGAGACATAAGGTGCTAGTCTTCAACACTGGTCCTTCTCACATTAACTAAAAACCAAGAAAAAGGCCCCATAGACGATGTCACAGGCCAACGAGATAGAGGTAAATCCTTAGGAGACGTTTCCTCTTGCCTGATGTGTCATGTTGACTGCTAAAGGTACCTGTCACAACAGATGACAAGTGTTGACTCCCCAAAGCAGTTGTGGCCTGTTCCCTTCTAATATGGTCAGTTTATCATTAATGATTCAGGGTTGATCTACATCATGCGCCCAGACCCAAACCCACCAATGACTGAAAACTCCTTTCCTGCTTCACTGATGCTTACAAATTACCCCAAATCAAAATAAGCCGTAAAAAATCACATTAACCCTAACTCTAAACAAAACCATGTGTTCAGCTATACATAGGCATTATAACATTGTGTGAGTTTTATCATCAGTATAAAGATTATCTTGTAATGACTGCCACATTATTCTGCAATTTGAGTGAGGATGACCTCACATCTTGGTTACCCTGTGAATGTATTTAGTGTTTATTATTGTAGTAACTAAGGAGAGATAATCCCAGTACTTTTTAAAAATATTCTTTATTAATTACCCTTTATTTGCTTTGTATCCCCCTGTGGTTCTCTCCCTCCTCCTGTCCCTATCTCTCCCTTCCTCCACCCTCTGCATGCATGCCCCTCCCCAAGTCCACTGATAGGGAAGGTCTTCTTTTTCTTCCTTCTGAGCCTAGTCAATTAGGTCTCATCAGGAGTGGCTACATTGTCTTCTTCTGTGGCTTGGTAATGCTGTTTCCTCCTCAGGGGGAGGTAATTAAAGAGCAGGCCAATCAGTTCATGTCAGAGACAGTCCCTGTTCCTATTACAATGGAACCCACTTGGATACTGAACTGCCGTGGGCTGCATCTGTGCAGGGGTCTTAGGTTATCTACATGCATAGTCCTTGGTTGGAGTATCAGTCTCAGGAAAGAACCCTGTGTTCAGATTTTTTTGGTTCTGTCGCTCTCTTTGTGGAGTTCCTGTCCTCTCCAGATCTTACTGTTTCCCACTTCTTTTCTAAGATTCCCTGCACTCTGCCCAAAGGTTGCCCATAAGTCTCAACATCTGTATTGATAGTCTGCAAGGCAGAGCCTTTCAGAGGTCCTCTGTGTCAGGCTCCTGACTTGTTCCCTGTTTTCTCCTTCTTCTGATGTCCATCCTCTTTGTCTTTGTGGATAGGAATTTAGCATTTTAGCAAGAGTCCTCCCTCTTGGTTAGTTTCTTTAGGTGTACAGATTTTAGTAGGTTTATCCTATATTATATGTCTATATGAGTGAGTATATACCGTGTGCATCTTTCTGCTTCTGGGATAGCTCACTCAGGATGATCTTTTCAAGATCCCACAATTTACCTGCAAACTTCATGATTTCCTTATTTTTTATTGCTGAGTGATATTCCATTGGGTAGATGTACCACAATTTGTGCATCCATTCCTCCACTGAGGGGCATCTGGGCTATTTCCAGCTTCTGGCTATTACAAATAAGGCTGCTACAAACATGGTTGAGCAAATGTCCTTATTATGTACTTGAGCCTCTTTTGGATATATGCCTAGGAGTGGTATAGCTGGATCTTGAGGAAGCACTATTCCTAGTTGTCTGAGAAAGTGCCAGATTGCTTTCCAGAGTGGTTGTACAAGTTTACATTCCCACCAGCAGTGGAGGAGGGGTTTCCCCTTTTTCCACAACCTCTCCAGCAAGTGTTGTCTCTTGAGTTTTTGATATTAGCCATTC